GGTGTCCGGTTCAGAGGGGCTGGGCTCAGAGCTGGGGGTCAGGGCTGTGGGGGGATGGAGTCGGGGGGTGTCCGGTTCAGAGGAGCTGGGCTCAGAGCTGGGGGTTAGGGCGGCGGGGTGCCCAGCTCAGAGGGGCTGGGCTCAGAGCTGGGGGTCAGAGCTGGGGGGGTGCCCGGCTCAGAGGGGCTTACCATGCCGCTTACCCCCGCCTCCCCCTCTCCCAGAGCCTCAGCGAGCCGCGTCCAGGAGCTCCTGCCGCTTGGCTCGCTGGAGCTCGCAGCCCCACCCCCTTACTACGCGGCTCCGAGCGGGAGGACGTCAGGCCCCGCCCGAGCCACGCCGCTGAAGTGCTGTCCGGGGCTGCTCCTGGACGCAGTGCGCTGAGGCGCTGGGGGATGGGGGAAGGTGAAGGCGGAGGCAGGGGGGAGCCTCCGACATTCTCATGGGGGACCCTGCGGGGCCCAGGGCAAATTGCCCCACTTGCCCCCTCCCCCCCGGGTGGCCCTGGATTCTCGGGTTTTTCTGCAGTTTCATACTGGAGATCTGAGCAGTCATATTGCTCTCTTATATACAATGCAACTCCCCCACCTTTTCTACCTTGCCTATCCTTCCTGAACAGTTATTTGAACAATTAAAGACTAGTTAGGTATATTCTCCCCACTTCCTCCCTATTCCCCCACACCCACACACCCACTTTCCCCCAAGTTTTCTGATTAATTAGTGGTCTTATGTAGTGTAACCCTTCGGACCGTCTGAGTTGGCAGCAACAAGGGCCGGGTTCAGTATCTATGGGTTCCGTTTCAATAATGCAATGCAAAACCATCTCGAGCCCCCACCCAGTGACCTGGGACAATTACATACCACCCCCTGGGCGCCTCTAAGAGGCAATACTTCCCCTCTTGCAAGCACGGAGTCTGCGTGTAGCAAATCCTTTTAATAAAGGAGGGAAACAATGCGGCATTATGTTGGGGAAACACCACAAACAGGATTCATAACACAGACCATGAGCAAAAGACCCACCCCAAAGTAAGTTTGGCAGTGTCCTTTTCCCCTCAGGGTCTTAAGTCCAACAACCCAAAAGATCACCCCAAAGTCCCAAAAGTCCAACACCCCAAAAGTCTCTGTCCCTGGTCAGTGCAGCCCCAGAGTTCAAAAGTTTATCTGCAGTGTCTTACCCCTCCAGCCTGGGTGGAAATGGGGGGGGGAAGGGGCACACAGGGTGTTAAGGGGCACCTTACATGGTCTGAGGCCAACTGCCCCACCTCTCCATGGGGTTCTTCTGCAGCCTTCACCACGAGCCGCTCCACTCCACCAGCCGTCCCATGAGCCACTCCAGCCACCCCACAAACTGCTCCGCTCCGCCTCACTCCATTCATTGTCCCATGGGCCACTCCAACTGCCCCGCAAACTGCTCAGCTCTGCCAGTCACTTAGCAATATATCTTCAGGCTCCCCCACTAGTTAACACAGCACTCAGTGATCTTAGTAATTTTAGCTGCTTAGCAATTTCAGCTTCTAGTAGGGGAGCCCCAATGCTGGTGCACCATTGGCCCAAAATGAATTCAGCATAGCAGCCTGTAACTGACTCATAATGGAATCAAAATTAGCTCTGTTATTCAACAGTGGAGAGAGATGGGATGCAATTGGTGTTTCAGGCAAGGGCAGGCCATCAGCTACAAATACCTACCCCCCAGCCTTTCTCAATTGACTGGGTTTTGGAACACATGTCCCTTGTCTAGTGAGTGCTACTTAGTTGATGGTGAGTTCCTCTGTCATAAAACAGTTCCACTGGCCTTGATTCACATAATCAGGGTAACAACACTTTATTCTTCCTGCCCCAATAACAGAGGAACTGGGGATCTCACAGAAGCCAAAGTGACCATTTTGGGCTGCTGTGGGCTCATGCCAGGTGGGTGGGTGTGCCTATGCAAACAAGATCAGCCCCTGACGTTCTTTTCCACAAATCGCCACAATTCACCACCAGATGTCAGGGTAGAGCTCATCCTGACTCTGCTTACATCACTCTTTCCCCTGAATTAAGTTTGAGAGATCCAGCTATGCTTTTCTTTAAAGTATTTTCTCTATTTATTTTGAAATCTAGGAAGCGATACATTCTATAATGGAACCCCAGCTAAAACCTATTTTAGACCATGATTCCAGAAAGCACTTATGTCCCAGTCTTGCAAAAACTTGCTTGCATGCTGCTTAATTTTGAGCACTGTAAGTAAGTCTGTTGGAGTGTTGGGATTATTTACAGTGGGTAAAGTTAATCACATGAGCAAATTTTTGCAGAATTGAAGCTTTAATCATGTACTTAGGTCCCATTAACTTCTTTTGAAGGTAAGCGCAATGCTAACAGTTAATCATGTTCTTAAATACTTTCCTGCTACTAAGGATGCTTTCCTAAATCAGAGCCTTCAAATGTAACTTACTGGTATTTTTTTAAAATTTGCATTGTGAGGCAAGGTAGCAATTTTTAATCGTAGTTGCAATTGCTGCTGTGTTAGGAATTTTTTAAAATCTGAGCTAAGAGAAAATGGTGTTTATGGGTTTTTGTGCTTCTTTTTATAGAAGGTCTGCTTTTTTTTCCCTGCTTTTTTTTTTTTTTAATTTGTATATTAGAAGACCTGGTCTTATCTGCTTTGTTTTTCCTCCAAGAATCTATGAAAACTGGAAATAGAATTATGACATCACGGGTACCAAAGAAGTGTAACCAGGTTGAGAGGGAAAGTGATTTTTATTCAAGACTGTTTAAAACTTTGTTTTACTGTTGCATCTATTAAATACAAATGCCCTGCCACAGCTTAAGAAAGAGTCTCTTTGGTAGAGAGCACTGCCTCTTCAGAGAAGGTTTGAACGTGTTATGGTTGATCTCCTCTCAGGGATAGCTGTGCAATACAGAGCTTGAGCCCAGTGGGGGTGGAATTATGAGCAAAGGGCCGTATTCTGCTCTGTTACCCCAGTGTAAATCCATTGACTTCAGTGGAGTTACTGTGGATTTACACCAGTGTATCTGAGAACAGAATTTGGCCCAGAATGAGGTTCATCCCTTACTTTAGTAAGTACTAACTTTAGTAGCTAGATTTAGTAGCTAGATTCTATTTCAAAACTTCTACAATTTTGCATAACTGTTTCAAGTGATGGGGGCAAAAAGCTGAATCTTTTACATTTATAAATAAAGCCCTCTGCCTGTTGTAGAGACCCTGAGAGCGTCAGTAACTTCCTTCCTGGCTGAGATGATATTTCAGAGACGTTCACTTGGACTATGAGGTCAGTAAAAAGGGGCTCTCCTCCTGCACTATCTCTGCTGCAGCCACATGTACTGATTCTGAAAAGACATGAAGTCACACAGGAGCTGCTGGTCTATCGGTAAGTACGGGAGAGATCTGAAAATATCCTAACTTGAACTTGATGAATAGGCTCTGCATCGTTTCTAAATTGTGATCAGCACTTACATAGTTTCACATCATGTGAGGAAAAGGGAACTGGTTGGTACTGTCCAGAAAGGTTTTCTGTTTGTATTTGATTTAATTGAATAGCCTGTAATGGTTTGATTATATTAATCAGTTAAGCCTTGGGGGGCACAGTGAGTATACAAGGTGCAGCATATGATAAGGTTTTATTGTACAGGTATCTTTTCTGAATGGATTCATTTGCTGTTAACTATTACAACCTACCTTACCTTATTTCACAGTAGATTAGTATGAACGCTGTTTGAACCCCACTGATTTTTGTTGGTTCGGAGCTCACACACTGTGGGCTGGGTTCATGGCAGTAGGCAGACGTCTGTCACACGCACCTTCACTGAGAGGATGAAGTTTGATTAACGTGAACTTTCAAGGAGAAGCCACCTCTCCCTCTCCCTGGCACCTCCTAGCCCAGTCCCTCCTTTCTTTCTTTTGATGTCTTTGGAAGGGAGTGACCCATCCGCCACTAACCTAGTCCTAAGCGACCTCCTCCATCTCCCCGGTAGGGTCTCCAGGGTGTACCAAGGGGTCTCTGAACCAAGCAAGGTCTTTAGGGCCAGCTTGGTACAATTTATTACATCTCCAAGTCCTTAAAGGATTTCTGAGAGGCAGGAGTCAGCTGCACTTCACCCTCCCTCTTTCTCCAGTGCAGATGCCAACAGAGTAACCCATCAGCCCTTACTCTTGTTATTAAATGAGTAAAAACTAAACATTCTTGAGAGCTCTTTGGGTTATTCCAAGAAAGCCTATTTCCCAAAATGATGGAGCCACATTTCTCGGTATTATAGTCATGGCCTGCCCATTGTGCGTTCATTTATTGAAACCCTGGAAACAGCTTTATTCTGAGAGATTTCATGGGGCTCAACCATCTCCTCACATGCACATACACAGTTTCCACCGACTTAAGTTGGAGCAGCCCCAGGTGTCTCCAGGATATGAGTTTACCCCTGGAGATTTGTTGTTCAGCATGAACCAAGGTTACTGCCTTCTCCTCACATGCAGATTTCATTGTGTTCAAATTTGCAGCCCAGTGTACCCCTGAAAAGCGCTGTTCTTGGAGCTACAAACATGATACATGCAGCCAGAGTTTACCTCAGTGTGCCCAGTTTTGGTGCAGTTTGTAACATTGCATATTTTGTGGGAAGCTAACTTTACCAATAGCATTAGGTTATTATTTTCCTACAGACACTATGAATTATTATAAGGGGGAAGTTTTCTCTGCTATCAGGTGCAGGTGATTTGCTGATCTCTGTCTGTGTGTTTCCTGCAGGTTTGTCCCACGCTCTTCTCATTGACATTCCTCAGGATTCAGTCAATGGAACTGTCGGTCATTCTGTCCTCCTGCCCGTCTCCTATAGACTCCAGGGACCATTTCCCTCTCAACTGTCCATTCGGTGGGATTTCCGTAACACCCCTAATCCACTCACCATCTACACAGTGACTAACTGCTCTGTCAGCGCTGAGGGGATTCCCACCCGCTGCTCTGGATATAATTATATACATCTCGCATACCAAGGCCGGACTGTATTTTTCCCTGAAAATGTTTCTCTGCTCCTTCAGAACCTGCAGCTCAATGACAGCAGAGTCTACAGCGTCACCTTCAAAGCACCACAGCAAACCAGACATATCACATTGACTGTATCTGAACCTTATTTCAACCATGGAAACGCAGATGGTGGTATGTATGTAACTTACAATACACACAGCACTGAGGAAGTCTGTCCCTCCATTGGTAACAGTGACAAGCAGTTCTCTCCAATGTGCATCATTTTGTGCTCATGTACATTAAATCACATCTACTATACCGTTACCCAATCAGCTAAATCTTTCTGAGTTCTTCAGTCTTCTCTCATCGTGACTAAACTAAAATCTTGTATCGTATGCTAATTTGGCCTCTCACTTCACAGTTCACTCATTCTCCAGATCATTAATACATAAACATCGGTCCTGGTGTGGATGCTTCAGGCACTACCCAAGCAGATGCCATCTGTCTTGAATGTTTGGAGTGTGCCTAGTATATGTTGGACACTTCCATTAATAATATTAACCATCTATACCACATACTGAAGAGTTGTGCTTGCACTTTATTTTATTTTTTAACCAGTTTCCAATATATGACAGAACTTTGCCTCTCAGCCCTTCATTACTTAATTGCCATAATAGCCTCTTGTGAAGGACTTTACAAAGGATTTTGGAAAGTACAAGTAAATAATAGCAAATATTATTTTACTGATGCCCTGGGAGAATTCTAGCAGAGTCGAAAGGCAAATGTTCTTTCCCAGAGGCAAAACTGGTTGGTCTCTATCAGATCATGTTAATTGCATCAAAGGTAATTTCATCATAGAGCAGCTGTTGCCTCAGTTTCCCCATAATCATTGGGTAGTGTTCTCCTTTGGCCAAACCCCAAAGATCCTTCCCAACTGGGATAAAAACAAACCAAACTTTGTTATTTCCAGCACCCTGTGATGGAGACTCATAAACAGATGTTGATCTCTCCTGGTTTCCCCCAGTCTTTAGTTTTCTAGCCCAAAACAAAACTTTCTCAAGTTGCTTTACTAAGTCTGTCTGGGCCTCCCCCAATTTTTTCCTAAACCCTTATTGGGCCTATCGAGAAACCCAATAAGAAGGTCTTATTTCCTTCAGGTAGGGACAATCACAAGAAAGCCTGACTCTTCCCTGGTCTCTCTCTTACTAGAGCAAAAGAAGTTCTTTTATATTCCTTCCCCTTTACCCAGCATACAATGCACCCCAGTCTACTATTCTGATGGTCCCTTTGGATTACAAGTCCCAGGATGTCTTAGTCCTGGGATCAGGACCAGGGACCAGGAATTGAGAACCAGGACTGGAACAGGGCTAATGTTGGACCTTGAACCCCTTTTATAGGACCAGCTCACCCAATGACGTTCATCTAGGTGTCTTATAACATTCTATAGTTAACAATTCCATCAGTTTACCTGAAACTGAAGTAAGGCTCATTTAACTGTAACTTACAGGATCATCTGTATTGCATCTTTTAAAATAGATATAAAATTGGCTAGCTTCTGTTCCTCTGTGGTAGTAATAATATTTAGCATTTATTAATAAGTACATTAATAAATATTTAGCTTTCCAATGCTCACTAGCTCATTTAATGATACAATTAGCTGGCTTTAATCATATGATTTTTAGCAGCTCAGCCACTTCATTCTTAGGATCTTTTAGAACTCTTGGATGAACACTACCCAGTCCTGATGACTTTTTTCCTCTTTATCTTATCAATGTGTTCCATCACCTCTTTTGACAGCTCAGTCTTTGACCGTGCTTCTATTTTATTACCCGTAAAGAGTGCAGGTGAAATCCTGTCCCCATTGACTTCAGTGGGGCCAGGATAGGTATCTCCCCAATGTACACTGTGGGGAAGACTGATGCAAAGTAGTCATCTAGGCCAAAAGTTTCAAGAGTGTTTTCACTAATTTTGGATGCCTTCATTTTGGGTACCCAAACTGGGGATTCTTAGGGCCTATCAGGGGTACTGAGTACCCACAATTTCCAATTTCAGGTGCCTCTGAGAATTAGGTCTTAAGCAGTGTTGCCAACCCTCCTGATTTTATTGCAAATCTCATGATATCTGGTGCTTATCTGAAAGCTCCAGCTCCTGGAGTCATGTGAGAATCTCAGCTTTACTTAAAAAAAAGAAATTTCTAAGCACCCAGAGTTGTGGAGAATATGAGATGAATCCTAAAGGCTCAAAAGACAGAAAGGAAATAAAGATTTCAAAACTATTTTTTTAAATCTCATCATTTTTAAGCCAATTTCATTATTTTTTTCTGGCCTGAGTCATGAATTTTGAATACTTGGGGTTGGTAATAGTGTTTAAGCCCTCACAAATAGGGAGCCCAAAAACTGAAATGCCCAAAATCAGAGGACACTTTAAAAATCTAGATCTGAGCTTTCCTACAATATCCTTAGGCTAGTATCTGATTCTCTCAGTCTTCATACACCAAACACATTTACATAATTTGGTGAAGTTTCTTTTGATGACTTTGGCTAATTGTTCATCATATTCCTTTTTAATCCCCCCTCATTTCTACTTTACAATGTATCAGCTTTAGCTCCTGGTCCTTTTGACTGGTTTCGCATGGATTGGACTTTTGAAGTACACCATTCCTGCTTGAATATTCACTGATTCCTTGACACTTGACCATTTTTTATTGACTTCCATTTTCCTTGTTTTATTTATTGGTATGGATGCCTCTCTTATTTGATATTCTGTTTCATTAGCTTCTGGGCTGATTCAAAGGATTTTAAACTCTTCACGTTTAGCTTTAATTACTTTCTAATTGGCATCCTCTTTTTTTTTTTTTTAAATCCCCCTTTCTAAAGTTTAGTGTGACAGGGCTAGTTTTTGATATTTTCCCCTCCCACATGGATGTTGAACTCAATTATGTTTTGACTATTATTATATTACACAGTTGTTCAACTATTGCTACTTCTGAAACTAGCTCCGGTGAGTCAATTGAGACTCGAGCGAGAATAGCCTCTCCTCTTGTGTGCTGTAGAACTAGCTACTCCATGAAGTAATGTTTTGTGGCCTTGAGAAATTGCTTCTGCAAACTGTGTCTCAACGTGTCATTTGCCTACATGATATGCAGTTTGCTGAAGTTATCCATAGTCACTATTTCAATAGAGTTTGTGGCCTCCTTGATCTACTTTGTTGATCTGCCAATTGCTATCATTAACATAGTTAGAAGGCCAGTAGTATAATCCACTATTCCTGTAATATTGCAGTCATTTGGGATTTGTAGCCATGCACGTGTTACCGAATGCTTCTATCCCCTCAGAAATGCTATTTCTTTAGATTCTACTGGAATCTTTTAGATACAGGGCTACTGCTCCCACCTTCGTAACCAAATCTGTTCTTCCTGTATAGTATATTCCCATGTATTACAGTATCTCTTTGGTTGTGGTCATCCCACTGTGTTTCTGGGAACACTACTAGGTCTTTTTCCATTGTTTTAGAGTGTTCTTCTCCAACAAAGTAGCCTGAAATTTCATATATTAAACATAGGATTAACCAAGGTAGCTTCTGAATCTACTCACACAGCTAACCGCACCCAAGGTCCTATCACCATAGAGGTGAACATCAGGCAGGGACTAACCACACCCTTATTCTGTTCCAACAATCGACTCCCCCAGGCTGAGATCAATATCTTACCACAATCCCATCAGAGGAAAGGAGCAACCATACAAACTCCCATTCTTCTAATTCATGGGTTGGGAAGATTTCCACTGCTTCCGGTTGGAGAGATGTTTTTCTTTGGGTCTGTCTACCCTGCAAGTGAAGGTGTGATTGTAGCATGGGCAGGCATACCTGTGATAGCTTTAATCTAGCCAGCAGGAGTAACAACAGTGTACACATGGTGGCACAGGTTGGCAACGTGAATGTGTACCCAGGCTCCTTGGTGGGTTTGTGCTGCCACGTCCTCACCATTATTGTAACCCACGCTAGTTAAATTAAAGGTAGCATGGGTACGCCTATCTGTGCTACAGGTCACACCTTCTCTTGCAGTGTAGACATACCCTATGAGCCCAGTCTGTCAGTGGTCTGGTCAAACACTAAACGATCTTCTATCCACATCCATTAACACATTGGTCCTAAATGTCCCTTTCCTCTCCATTACCCACACAGATTGTCATGGTTTACTGATAAACAGTGACCAACGAAATGTGAGAACAGGAGGCTTCATCACCAGTGGTGTAAGAGCCACATGGAATTTGACCTACTATGGTGTAAGGCAGGGGTTCTCAAACTTGGGCCATGACTTGTTCATGGTAAGCCAGGGGCTTACCAGGAACAAGTTGCAGCCCAACTCTGAGCACCCCTGGTGTAAGGAATATGTGATCCTAGACCATGATTGAGAAGGAAACAGGGACCTTTCTTCTCTAAAGCAATAGCACCTGGCAAATTTTGGCCAAAAGAACAATTCTAGACAATGACCATGGTCAATCCAGACTGTCTTGTGCCTACCACAGACCCGAGCACCTTCTGCTCTGAGGAGGTCTCTCCTCATATTTTGCAGAGAAAACTGCACATGTCCAAGACAGCCTATCATTCCTTGAGTTTTTACCTTGAATGTTGTGTTCAAATGAAACATCAATTCAAAATCATCACATTTCATTTGGTTTTGCATCAGAGCCATGTGGAATTTTGCATGATTTCAGAGCAAAGCCATAATTTCGCCTAGGTTTTCTGGAAAGATATATGCACCTTCTGAGGACCCGAGTCTGAGTTTCCAGATGGTAACAAAACCCCAAAATAGCTGAATTTTGTGCGGTTTCAAATTTCATTGCAAACATTTTGCACAGTGCCAATACTGAATCGAAGTAATTAGTACTGAATGTAAATCTTTTTCTGCTTGGTATGATTCCAAGAGGATGTTAAACTTTAAAAGACAAATTCATCTTCTTTTGATAAAAACTGGATGTAGGTCCAGACTGCAAAATTTTAATCCGGATCCCAACTTCCCCAATATTTGAAGTTGTTTGGGTTTGGGTTTTTGGTTTGGCCCACTATTTGGAGAGCACCCAACATTTGGAGATATTCATATGTATAGTTTAGTTTCAGGCTCATCTTTAGATAAAAGTGAATTAAGTCTAAGGGTAGCTGAATGGTTCTCCTTCTCAGGCCATGTCTATGCTATAAAGTTAAGTCAAGGTGACTTACTTCAGCATACAGCCATTGCAGTAATAAAATCACTTGTGCATGTCTAAACTTTGCTCCTTGTGTTGGCGGTGAGCATCTTCACCAGGAGCACTTGTATCGATAGTACTGTCAGTGAGCAACATTGTGGGATGGCTCCTTAAAGCCAGTAACAGTCGATGTAAGTAACAATGTCTACATTGACACTGCATAGACCTAATTACATTGACTTTGACACTATGCCTCTCATGGAGGTGGAGTTATTAAGTCAGTGTAGCAGGGTAGTGACATCGGCAGGAGTGAAATTTGAGTGTAGACACTTACATAGTTAGGTCGATGTAAGCTGCCTTGCGTTGACCCAACTCTAGTGTAAACCAGGCATCAGTTTTGTTTTTGTAACAAGTAAAAACCAAAATAAAACATAGAAGCAAAAATCATAAATAGCCTGTGGCTGTTACACAACAATGGGAAGTAAATATATGGAATCCAGACAATGTGTAATAATAATCTCCTCTGAGGCACAGTACTGCTCACGAACGCCTCCTCCCTTCCTGTACTGTATTGCTGTGTGCCGTTCATTAATGCAGGCGTGCTTGTGCCAGCTAAGGTTAAAGTTCTATTCTTAGTTCTCATAACTTTCCAAAACTTTCACTGATCAAGTTGAAATTTTCAAGCTGTGGTGTCTGACCAAAGGTTACTTGTTTTGGAAAGACTGAGCAAAAATAGTTCAGCAATTTTGGAATATAGAAAAATATACTTTCTTTATGATGAAAGGTTTTTTACAGCCGATGTTTAATAGCTCTGGTGCCAAAAGAGTTAGGGTACGTCTATACTTACCCGCTGGTTCGGCGGCAAGCAATCGATCTTCTGGGATCAATTTATCGCGTCTTGTCTAGACGCGATAAATCGATCCCGGAAGTGCTCGCCGTCGATGCCGGTAATCCTGCTCCGCGAGAGGAGTACGCGGAGTCGATGGGGGAGCCTGCCTGCCGCGTGTGGACCCGCGGTAAGTACCTTTAAGTTCGAACTAAGATGCTTCGACTTCAGCTGCGTTATTCACTTAGCTGAAGTTGCGTATCTTAGTTCGAACTGGGGGCTTAGTGTGGACCAGCCCTTAGGGATAGAAAGCTGAAATTGGCAGGGAGACAATGCTCAGTGAGGAGAAATGCTTTTAAACATTCCAGTGAACATTGGGTTTAATTCTATGGAGTTATAATCCCTTGGAAATTGCATTTTGTGCATGCATAGAATGATCAGTATGATTTTTAGCACTTTCTGGCAGTCGTCTGAATAAACCAAGGTACACTACACATGTGAACTTGGCTGCCCAGTGAAACACTTTTGAGTATGACTATCTTGTTCTGTGCTCAGGGAATGACACACAGCTCTGATTCTCCAAGCATGTGCTATGAAGCACTTATTGTTCTGAACACCCACTTAGAGCTGGGTGAACGTCTTTGGAAAAATAGTTTTATTAATCAAAAATGACATTTGGGTCGACCAATAACTATTTGCAAATTTGACACTAATTCACTGAATAGTTTTGGCCAGAACAAATAAACAAAACTGGGGGGCAAGTTGGTCTAGATTCACAAAACAGCTGGAGGAAGAGGAGTTGCTACTGCTTGCCTTATAGTCTTTAGCCCAGTGGTTATGGCACTCACTTGAGACGTGGGAGACCCAAGCTTGAATCCTTGTTTTAGACCACAGATGTGAATGCAGATCTCCCCTCTCCATGGAGAGGCCCTGACTTCCAGGCTACAGGCTAGTCTGGGGTGACACTCTCTTCTGTTGATGCTGTTCCACTTTGTGTTAAATACTTGTATGGTCTCTGGGCCAGAGAGCGAGAGAGAATGACTCTCGCACTCACCTGGAAGTGGGGTGACACGAGTTCAATTCTCTGCTCCGATGAATCGTCAATACAGAGTACAACAACTTCAGTGGGGGAGTTTAAAAGCCCCACCCCAGAATAGCCTGGTGGTTAGGGCACTTGACAGGTGGGGGAACTGCTGGGTTCAAATCCCTGCTCCAAAGTGGGGATATGAACCTGGGTCTCTGCCATTCCAAGTGAGTCCCTTCACCACTGGGCTTGAAGTCCTAATGTGGGCGGCTTTTTCTTACCCACAAACTGAGAAATCAATTATTTGCCCAGCTGAATCCCACTGCCTGTGTCTCCTAAGCATGCAGTGAATGAGGCAGGGCTCTGCGGAAGCCCTTGTGTCACTCAGTGCACATCTTTCAAGGTGTAGTGGGAGCAAGGGCTCCACAATTGCATAGTCATCCAGGTAGCAAGTGCTGAGAGACATTATCTGAAATCATCACTTATGCCAGTGGTTCTCAACCCGGGGTACGTGTACCCCTGGGAGTATGCAGATGTTTTCCAGGGGGTACATCAAGTCATCTAGCTATTTGCCTAGTTTTACAACAGGCTACATAAAAAGCACTAGCAAAGTCAGTACACACTAAAATTTCAGACAGACAATGAGTTGTTTATAGTGCTCTATACACTGAAATGTAAGTACAATATTTATATTCCAATTGATTTATTTTATAATTATATGGTAAAAATGAGAAAGGAAACAATAGTGTGCTGGGATACTTTTGTATTTCTTTGTCTGATTTTGTAAGGAAGTCATTTTTAAATGAGGTGAAACTTGGGGGCATGCAAGAGAAATCAGACTCCTGAAAGGGGTACAGTAGTCTGGAAAGGTTGAGAACCACTGACTTACGCTATCCTAGCACTGCTGCCTGAGTTCAGCACAATCCTGAAACCTACCAAGACCTTCTCTGAAAAATATACATTTGCCATTATAGTTATTTCTTTATAAAATACTCAGACAACTTATTTCCTTTTATATGTCAGGAACAGGAAATGAAATGAATTCACCTCTTGTCCTTCTCCTTGGACTCTTGATCACCGGAGGCTTAAGTTTTCTCCTGCTCCTCCTGTTGCTGTTCTTCTGCTGCAGATGGCATAAGGGTGAGTGGTCTTGCTCGTACACCTCACTCGCTGCTGTTGGTGCTTCAGATTCTTCAAAAATACTTTTTAACCAACAAATCCAAGTGACCCTGACTAGCTTCTGGGAAGTCCATGTGCTGCCCTCCCAGCCAGAGTGAAGCTTTCCCATTACATTGTGTCCTGAAATGTGCAGGACGTCCTGATCCACTGGGAAACCATGTGGAAGTTGTCACAAGACAACTAAAGAGACATGGATTTATTTAGGGTTCTCTGACACAGTGTCAGGATAAAGACTCACAGATTGACTCCATGGCATCTGTATATAAAGATATTGTGCTGGTGCAATGCAATATTGCAACACATTGTCTCCATGTTGTGATTCAAGATGGAAACTCTGGAGTGTTTGCAGCTCAATATCAGGGCACTACAATATATTGTCCCATATCACAAATAATAATAGGTGAAGTCTCTAGGGCAATATGGAGCCTTTGAGGGTGGAGGGATGGAAAGTTGTGAGCAACACTTTAGGACTTCCCCCTAAAGGAAATGTCACAGGGAGACACCAGTATTTTGGAGGGATATGTATTTAAAATACTATAGTTAATACAAATGATTAAACCTAAGGGCCTGATTCTCCTCTCACTTATACCAATGGAAATCAGGAGTAATGCCACTGAAGTTGCTGTGGACACATAGTGTGAAACGGGTGTTAGTGAGGAGCGAATCGGTCCCATAATCGTTAGCCACTTTCCAATGGATCTTTCAGGAATGTGAGGTTAGTTATTTGTAAATAAATTTTCCCCTTTTGCTCCCAGAACACACAAAAAAATCTCTAACTCAAGGACAAAAATTGATTTCTCTTTGTGTCACTGTTGGATGTCTTTGGTTTCAAAAGCACAGTGCGACTATTGATTAAAAGAATTAATTTATCTGAAGCACAGAACGTCTACAGTCCCTGTAAAATATTAACTATTCAAACAACTTTCACAGGTGCAGTTCAGCATAGGAGGACAAGAATCATAAAGCAACAAGAAGAGGTACTGTAAAATATAATAAAACACAGAGATCTGGTCTCTCCACACATAGCTTGCACTGGTTTAACTAAAATCAGATTTTAAACTAAGTTAAACTGATGTAAGTTCCTGTGTGGACACTCTTAGATCAGTTTACAACTGGCTTGTGTTACTTTAGATTAATTCATTAACTGACCAAATTAAGCTATATCGATTAAAAAGCCAGTTGATTTCAATGGAACACTGCTGATTTAGACCAGCTAGAGATTTGGCTCATAAGCAAGTTTGGGAGAATATTTAAGGAAAGCAAATTTTGAACAAAGAAATATAAGCATTAACACCAGAAACCTGGTTCTGTAAATGACATGATCCATGTACCCAATCAAGAATTTTGAATGTTTGCAAACAGCTTGTTGCAAGTAATCTGCACATCCAGAATTACTTCCGACAATATGCATCATTCATGGGACATAACAGAAAAAGACAATTTCTAAAAATGATTACAGATGAAATATTTGCTCAGCTCTAAAAATAACAAAGGTAATTAGTATTAATTATTATAGGTTGCATTAACGTGAGATTTTTCTACTTTTTATGTGCTTAAATGATCAGCTATACATTTTTATTTAGATTCTGGGAAATAACAAAAACAGCTAAATATGCAAATACATAATCATACGTCTGTAAATGTGAAATTCAAATACAAAACACTGCAGTTATGACAACATGGGGGTACATTAACGCCTCACAGCTCCAGTTTCCCCTGCCACTCCTCTAATGCAGTATCAGCCCTAATGCAGTCCACTAGCCTGGCTTTTCCATGTTGCCAACTGCTTTTACGTGACTGTAGACTCCTCTTTGCAATGAATGTGACCAGCAGCCAGCTCTCCATGGTATTGCTAACAACATTTGGGGACTCTGACCTAACATTATGAAAGAAAATCTCATTACACAGATTGAAACACCAAGAACTGAGCAAATACATAAACCATAGTAAATGCAAACTGCCTCATGCCCTGCGAGGCACTAGACTCTGACCCTGGTGGACTGCAAAGGAAGCGGTTTCCTTTGATTTGCAACTCTCTATGAGTCATTCTTGCCCTGTTTCCACAACTACAGAAGAAGCTTACTTGCATGTTCTCCTTTATGATCATTCACATCCCCTTTTCTTGTTGTTCTATCCCTCCCCCTACTACACACAGAAACCTCTGACTACTCTGAATATAAGTGGAACAATTTTCATTTTGCGTATCCACAGATTATCTCATTAGCACAAATTAGATAATTGTACTCTGCCTCTTTCGCTTCTCTTCTGCCTCTTTCTCCTATCTATCAACTAATTTACATTACTGCATATATCACTCCTGAGCTGTGCTCATGGCTACTAGAAATGATAGAGCTATTTTTTAATTAAGCTGGGAGACAGACAAAGACAAATGATAGGCCGCTGTCAGCCTGCTCCTAACTAGTAATGCCTATTTTCTGTACAGTACTTATTGGGATATGATTCTGCAACCCTTATGCACAATGGCTCTGTCTAGTCTGGGAAAATAGGTGGTTTAAAGCAGGGGAGGGCAAACTATGGCCCACGGGCCACATCTGGCCCACCAGACAATTTAATCTGGCCCTCAAATTCTTGCTGAGGAGTGAGGTCTGGAGCTTGCCCCACTCCCGCACTCCACCGAGGGAGCGGGATCAGGGGCCACTCTGCACACGCGTATCCTGCCCCCCGGAAGCAGCAGTATGTCTCCCCTCCAGCTCCTATGCGTAGGGGCAGCCATGGGGCTCTGCATGCTGCCCCCACGCCAAGCACTGCCCCTGGAGCTCCCATTGGTCAGGAACTGTGGCCAATGGGAGCTGCAGGGGCGGCGGCTGAGGACGGGGCAGCGCGCAGAGCCGCCTGGCCATGCCTCCATGTAGGAGCCGGAGCGCGGACATGCCATTGCTTCCGGGAGCTGCTTGAGGTAAGCGCCACCCGTAGCCTGCACCCCTGAGCCCCTCCCACACCCCAACCCCCTGCCCCAGCCCTGATCTCCCTCCCACCCTCTGAACCCCTTGATCCCAGCCCGGAGCACCCTCCTGCACCCCAAACCCTTCATCCCCAGCCTCACCCCAGAGCCCTCACCCCCAGCCAGAGCCCTCACATGCCCCATGCCTCACCCCCTGCCCCAGCCCTGATCACTCTCCTGCCCTCCAAACCCATTGGTCCCAGCCTGGGGCACCCTCCTATACCCCAAACCCCTCATCCCCAGCCCCACCCCAGAACCCGCACCCCCAGCCGGAGCCCTCATCACCTTCCCTCCCCCCCGCACCCTGACCCCCTACCCCAGCCCGGAGCTGCACCCGCAGCCACAGCCCTCACTCCCTCCTGCACCCAACCCCAATTTCGTGAGCATTCATGGCCCACTATAAATTTCCATACCCAGATGCAGCCCTTGGGCCAAAAAGTTTGCCCACCCTTGGTTTAAAGCATTTTAAACACCATTTACCATTTAGTGTAGACTGGGTTTAAAACATTTAAAATATTAGTGGGAAGCTCATGGTTGACCATGAAGACAGAGCACATTTTTAAATATGCTAAATCCTGTTTACACTAATATGTTGGCTAACACATTCTAAACCATGACCTGTTTTCCTAGTCTAGACATGCCCACTGAATAGTACTTACAACATCTGCAAGCCTCATACTGTTTTGTATGATGTGAGTGCTGAGACGTACGAGGATTGACATCGGCTGTTAACACTCCTCCCTCCCCCAGACATGGTGGCAGATACTGGAGGGTGGGCCTTCGGGGAAGAGGAGCGCTTGATTTTCATGCAGGCTATTAAAACCAGGCTGCTGAAACTGTGGGTTTTGTGGCCATGGAGGCTTCATCAGCAAACCCTGCAGCCTTCTCCTCACAACTAGGTGGCCAGAGTGAGCATGAGCCCACAGGGGCTGAGCTCTGACACTGCTCCAAAATCATCAGCTAGTTTATTGCAGCATTTCTCTGAGTGAGCAAAAGTGAATTCACTAGAGAAGGACACAGATATGAATGGGAATTAGCATTTGTAAAAGGGAAGGAGAGTTGTTAATCTGAGAGGGAGGTCAACTCTATTATGTGATGCCTGGATAATGGTGGTGATCATTGATTATTATTTAGGATTTATATCATGGTAGCACCTATTGGCTATCCAGGCCAGGGCCCCATTTGCCAGGCACTATGTAAAAGCTCCCCATTAGCTCTCTCAACATTACAGGAGTTCTCCTTCTCAGTCTTTCTGACTCTAATCACATCTCCCAAGAGAGACGCTCTTACAGCCCCTGACATTGGTCCTTCTGGGTGGTTATTTCCCCTTGCTGAGGGTCAACGTGGTTTCATGATTTTCTTGCAGCAATAGCAAGGGTTGCTATAGCTCTGCAAGGTGTGGTTTTCTGTGCTTCTCCTACATAAACTGGTGATGCCTGTCTTTGCAAGACTAAGTTGTCTGCTGCTGGGGATGGAGGAACCAGCTCACTTTAAAACCAAAGCTGCACGAACCTCCACGCACGTGCTAAACACAAACTTGTATAAAGCTGAGATCAGTGTGGATACTGGGTGCTGCATATGTCACCACCTCCATCTCCCAGCTCTCTCTGCCTGTCCTTCCCTCTCCCCATTCCTTACCTCCCACCAAGCTTTGCATGGCTGACTCTCATTCTTCCCACTACTACTCTCATGGCTGACTCTCATTCTTCCCACACTTTAATCTCTGTGACACCCACTACAGACAAAAACTCAGACAGTTCCACTGACCCACCTACAAACAGGCCCATGACTAAACCTATGTGAACGACTCAACTTGAGTCACAAATGAGCTTGACTTCAGTCCTGAGCTCAGACTGCCTCAGCCAATCAGCACTGCTCTGTTCTAACTGTGGTAGCTTCTGTGATCTCTCCATAAAAGGCTTTTTGCAAATGTTTACCTCTCGCTGGATATTTGTGTTCTGCACCGATCTGCTGTGCAAGGCATGTCCCAAGTTTGTCCTGGTCTTTAGGGATAGGTCCATGGGGTAAGCACCTGGGAGAAAGATCATGTTATTTCTACCATGTGATTTGAGCAATGTCCCTGATTGGCTGAGCCTGCTTTCCATACGTTGATTGGTCCAGAGCCCCAGATCACAGTACTTTTGCAGTATGTCACAATGTCAGTCTTGGCCTCTGTAAACTTAATTTGTCCCTTATTTTATTGTTTTCAATTGCAGTCAGTTGTTCACAGCCCAAGGGAGGAGGATGGAGAAGAAACAGCTGCTGAACCAATTGTTGCTCCTTGGTGTTATATGATAAAGAAATATAAATAAATAAATAGATAATAAAGATATAAATATAAAAATAAATTTCTTTTTAATTAAGACTGATCCTCATAAACAAGTTTCTTAACTCAGTTGGGGGCAGGGTTGTTTGTCTTTATCTAGGTCCCAAACCATGAGGAGTCTCACATGGAAAGTTCGTTACCAATGACGGTATCATCAATTTATGCAAGGATTGGAGAAGATGCTGGGCAGAGGCAGCGCAGATCAGAGTCACAGACTGAATATGCCTCTATAAGCCTCTCTTAACAGCAGCTGTAACCCCAACGTGCAGAGCTAGTTTTAGGCATGATCAGCACATGCAGTTACTCTGGGAGCCACGCAGCTCAAGAACTCTACTGTAAATAACCAAATTATCCTATTTAATGGGAACAGCACAGAAATGGCAATATTGTTTAGATGGTTTTTCCAGACTTCCCAACTCTTCAGAAAAGTGTATTTTACACATGTAAATGGATGATGGATTAAATCCAAAGTGTCTTTGTGAACTCAGGACTCATCTTCTTTTAGGTGCAGCTTGAGGCACTGAAGCCTGTAGATCAGGCCTGAACAACATGCGGCCCGGGGGCCGCATGCAGCCCGCATCGGCTCACTGTGCGGCCCGCGGGGATTGAGTAGGTGGGCTCACTGTGCGGCCCGCGGGGGGGGGGGAGTAGGCAAGCGGGGGGGGGGGGGGGGGGGGGGGATGAGGGGGCGGGCGGGGGGGGGGGAGCTGAGGAGGCAAGCGGCGAATGGGTGGCTGACCTGTTCTACTGATCTGCTCTGGCTCCCATCCCCTCTCCCAGGGCCAGCTCCAGGCACCAGCAAAACAAGCAGGTGCTTGGGGCGGCATATTTCTAGGGGCGGCATTTTGGCGCCAGCCATCATAGGCGCCGACTCCGGGGCATGGGGAAAAAGTGCCCCCGCTGCCCCAGCTCGCCGCCCCAGCTTGCCTCCGCCTGCTCCCCTGAGCGTGCCGCCGCCGCCCCGCTTCTCCCCCCTCCCTCCCAGGATTGCCGCGCGCGAAACAGCTGTTTCATGCAGCAAGGCTGGGAGGGAGGAGAAGCCAAGCGGCGGGGCGCTCGGCGGAGGTGAGCTGGAGCGGGGAGTGGTTCCTCTACCCCCCCCGTTACTTCTTGCACCCCGCCACCCTAGCTCACCTCCGCTCCGCCTGCTCCCCTGAACGGGCCGCTGCTCTGCTTCTCCGCCCTCCCTCGCCTGAGAGGGAAGAGGGAGAAGCGGAGCGGTGGCACGCCCGGGTGAGCAGGCGGAGCGGAGGTGAGCTAGGGTGGGAGGTTGCGGGGGGCCCGCAGGAAGCAATGGGGGGGGGGGAAATGCGGCGCGCCGGGGAAGGAGGCGGGGCTGGGGATTTGGGGAAGGGGTTCGGAAGGGGTGGGGGTGGGGGGGGGTAGAGGGTCATGAAAAAAAAAGGGGGGGCAGCCAAAAATTTTTTTGCTTGGGGCGGCAAAAATCCTGGAGCCGGCCCTGCCCTCTCCAAGGGTTGCGGCTGTCTGGAGGTGCCTGCCTTCCATGCCTTCCTCATTCACACCTCATTCATTCAATAGGGGTGAGTAGGCGAGCTGGGGGGGGTGAGGGGCTGAGGAGGCGAGCGGGCGGGCAGTGGTGGGGGGGCAGGTGAGCTGGCAGCGGGGGAGGGAGGCTGAGGGGCAAGCAGGTGGTGAATAGGCGAACTGGGGGGTAGGGGGCTGAGGAGGCGAGCAGGCGGGCAGTGGCGGGGTGGCAGGTGTGGTGGGGGGGCTGAGGAAGCGAGCGGGCGGGTAGTGGTGGGGGGGCTGAGGAGGCGAGTGGGCGGCGGAGAGTGAGTAGGTGAGCCGGGAGAGGGTGCGGGGGATGACGAGCCGGGCGGGCAGTGGCGGGGGGGCTTTATACTTGGGAGGGGGGGTGAGGAGGCGAGCAGCGAATCGGTGGCTGACCTGTTCTACTGATCTTGTCTCTCATAAAAATTGGTCCTTTTTGCTGCTTTTCTCTGGGCTGGGGGTTGTCCCAATGCTGCAAAGAGGGTGTTCCCAAAGGAAGGTGCTTGCTTCTAACCCCCGAGCTGTCAGTATGTCTGCTCTTCTCTAGTCAGCCCACTTGACAAGTT